CCACACCCCAAAGTGATACTCTTCTATCACAAATAAGTGCACTGAAAGAGTTCAGGTTTTTCCCCCTCCCACTGTATTTATCTTTCCCCAAGAATCCATCTTGCTGACCAAACAGACTACATAAATCAGATTTGGAAGTATTCCGAACGGCTAACTTAACCGAGCAGAAGGTCAGTTTTCTAAATGAAACCTTTTCAACCTCAACTCCACTGAACATTTGGGATAGTAACAAGTTTTAGAATAAGTGTACACTATCTCTTCCTTCATCTTCACAGAAGTAAACAACTTGCAGGAATGAGCGACACTGACTAGGGACATTTACTAGTTTACAAATGAAAGCAAACCTTTTTATTTTCCTACTAGAAAAGGTGATCAAAAAGTATATGAACAGTTCAACAGGGTTCTTCAATGCTTCACAACAGAACATGCAAACTCTTTTCTGGCAGCTCACAGTCTAAGATCATCCACCTTAAAGATATGAAATCATTTGTGTTTTCCATAAACCATATGAAAGGGAAGCCTCATGCTTGTCTAGTGTACGCCAACCTGTTGTCCACACTACTAACAACTCCTCCTCCTCCCAAATGCACTCTCTCCCCTTTCTATCAAGGAAGCCAACAAGGAGAAGACAGACACTTGGCTATGTTGTACAGACTTCTTTTTGGCGCAAAAAGCTCTAGTTTCTGCTGTGCCGTTTTTGCCTCTTGTATTTCCTTCTTCCACAAACCCCAGTAATCACCGAAACAGAGAAGTCGGTCAGGAAAAAGGTGTCAGAAACAATGCAGAGCATCCACAGTGCGTAGCTTCAGCTTTGGAAGTTTCAGACGTAATTCTATCATTATTCTGGCCAAAATTATGAGACTAAAAACTGTGTCTAACATAGCAAATCAGGTACAAGACAGGACTGCCAAAAACCTAAGAACATCATCAGTTAGAATTTTTCAAAGTTTAGACACATTCACACAAGCATACTTTTTTTTATATCATACTTTATTAGGGGAAAAAAATTTGATTTATATAAATGCATATAATGCGCTAGAGATATTATCATTTTAGGCACTAACTTGATTTCCAGTCATAATCCATGTGCTCAATACTATACAACTCCTTGCTTTTAGTAGTCTTAAAGAAGGAACTGCTAAAGGTGGAAATTTGCATAGTGAGTTCTGAGAACCACTGCATGCATGCCGTATCTAAAGCACGATCAAAGTCAAACCTGAGAAGATGACTTGCCTACTTAATGCCCTCAAGCAGCAGTGACCAATTTGCTGGCAAGACAGTCTGCGCTTCTCTTTCATTAGGCCTGCAAAGACAATACATTACAAGATTCTTTTATGATTCTTTTGAGAATTCTTTTTGCCTACTCTATATCATCAGTGACAAGGGTCACACCCAAATTTGCAAAACAGCCTTCACATCTGTCACTGAAACCCCAAACTGTTTCTCCCTTATGTCACTTGCAACATAAAGATTCGAAAATGACCTAGAAAAGTTAGCTTTGTTTCTTTAGGAGGAAATTCTATTTCCGTTTGCTTTCCAAGCAACCCTGATATTCACATTTAGTCACACACAGACACAAGTATTAAAAAAAAAAACAAACCAACCAACCAACATCTGTCCCCGAAAAAAAGACAAACCCAACCACTACCACTGTTCATATGTTAAATTAAGTCAGCAGTGATAAAATGGTAGAATTCTAAGTTGAATAGATTTACAGTATCACTCTACCTGGATAAGTTTTTTCTCTTGCTATTTCCAAAGACTTTCAGAATTTCTGTGCAAGTAAAAGTCTTCTCTAACCACACACACTATTTCACATCAGTTCAAATTCATTTCTTGCTATAACACACCTCCAAAAAAGATTAATACTTAAATAAGCTGGTCTTTAGTACTATATTAAAAAAAGTTATCTTTGGTGAAGTTAATTACATTACAAAATAATCCAAAGGTTCCCAATCTATAATTCTTACTGAATTTAAGATACAGTTTTACATCTTTGAAATTTAAAAGAAGGGGGAGGGGTGCCCAAGAGTCTTGTATTACTCTAGGCAGATTATGCTATACACTAACATAATGCTATGCATATATGCTACATGCTAACATATATATATATATATTTACTTTGATTGTCTTCTGTGACTATAACCAATCATCCTTATTTAATGACCTTTCATCTAATTAAAAGTCATTAAATATAGAGAAAAATATATCTTTATACATGTGAACAGGTTATTAAATAGCTGTCCTTAAACTGAACTAAACCAAACATAAAACAGACTTTCAAAAAGTTAACCAGATGCTTCTAATGTAACGTATGCACATCCCAACAAGTCACAGGCCAGAAGACCTTTATCATTAACACTCTCATAAAGAAAAAATTCAGCAGAAATAAGAGTTTCAGTGACAGTGCACATGTGGCAAGTGATATAAACACAACAGTATGCATAAAAAAAATACAAACATTATGATTTTTGGTTTCATTAGTCACTCAGATTTGATCAGTATGTTGTACTTTAATCCAAAAGCTAAGACACTGAAGGCTCTATCTGTATGGTCAAGACATTCTTGAGCTTGGTTATCCGCTACTCCCCAACTTCACACATATACTGAGGGTAGAAGTCTCAACGTTTATAGAATGGGAGCAAGTCATTTTGCATGAAATCTTCCCACCCTCAATCTGACAAGGGCAGAATAGCTTAAAAAGCAGCAGGACAACCAACAAACATACCTCCGCGACTGCTATGGAACATTTTTAGAGACTTAAACCTAAATGCATCTCGTCTTCTTTCAACTAAGACAGTAGCCCTAAACTAAAGTGATATTGATAGGACAAACTAAAAGACTAAAGTTTCATAAACTGACTGCTTAAAGATGAGGAAACAACATTCTGTCAGAGACAATTAGGGCTTGCCCAGAAGACTATTTCAAACGTGTCTATAAACAGAAATAACATGGAATTGGCCAGAGACCGAAAACAGTGTCCAAGTTCAGAAAGCTAAAAATGAAAGTGTATATTTGCAAATCAGCATGGAAAGGGGTTAGATAGCTCTTTGTCAGAATCTAAGAGCTAAATCACGAAACCTAAAGAACATGCAGTACCATATCATTGCCACAGTTCAAGATCCAGCACCATGGGATATTATCACACATGCTACAGCTAATGAAATTTGTTTTGGATCTGTACTCTGAGGATCAATGTTAGAAAGTTTCATAACAGAAAACAATATAGAAACCACGTCCTAAGTGCCAAAAATAAACTTATTGAAGTATGGCAAATCTGCACGAAATTACTTTTCAAGAAGAACAGTTCCACCAGGAAAATCTTTTTCTTGGGACAAGAATCCGTTTTTAACATAACATCAAAAAAGTCTTTATCCTTTCTCCAAGTATATTCCATTTTATCATGTCCCAGTCACGTCAGCCATTCAGCAATGACCTTCCACAGTTCCTGTAGGAGAGAAAAATACATACATATATTTTCTCAGATCAGCAGGTTGTGATTATGAGAAGTAGTTCAACATCCACCCTTTAAGACAAGTTTTAAGCTATATCCTGTACTCCCATAGTAAATCCATTTGTGTAATCTCCTAGAATAACAGCAAAGTTATCTGCGATATGAGTACGTTTATTCTTGTAGATGTTTTAATTAAAAAAATCATCATTTAAATAATTGTTATTGAAATAATTTCATTAGTCTACATGATCTTCTGCAGTATTTTCACTCAGAATCTTGTTCTTTTTCTTAGCTTCTGTTGACAAATGCTTTCAACAATGCCTGTACAAATACGACTGGAGGAAAAAAAAAAAAAACAAAAAACCACACACACACAAAATTAATACTCAATTTACTGAAGACTCTAGCTCTCACAAATTTAGACACTTCTCACTCTACTGGACAACAACAAAGAAAAGGACCACTTATTAATTTCTGGAGAATGAATATTCGTAGCTTTGGTGTCGTACAAAAAAAACCTGTGAAACAGACTGTTTCATGCCCTTTACCATGACTATACATTGAATTCTGGTAATATACTTCATGGTAAATAAAAATATACTTTTTTGTCCTTTAAAAATGCATATATGTCTAAGACCAGTAGCCGTCAGCAAAAAGTCTGTAGGGAACAAGTTTACACATTTAGATACAAACCAAGTTACATTTATATATTTGAAAAATATGTTTTAAAGTTCTGCATGCATATTTTATGCCTGAAGATGTCAAAACTAAGTAAAATGAATCAGTCTTGTGGAATAACTGAAGCCCCCCC